TTCCCTACAGCCAGCTGCTTTCCCTTGGGGCTCCAGCACACTGGACAGAAACAAGAGGACTTCATCAGCAACAGTCACAATAGCAGGGAAGATTCATGCAGTTCTCATACACCTCTGGGCAGCATCGCTAAACTAAACACCACTCGGGTGCCTCCTCAGCTAAGCAAACAGCTAATTCCAATAAAGCTGTTTTGCTTCAATAGAAGCCATAATGTTTATTACCATATGGCTCATTTCGGCAAAAAGATGACTGTGAAGAGACTTTATAACTCAGTCCAAATAAAACTGCAGCAACCTTCCAATGCTCTTTATGTTTGCTTTATAGCTACCCTACGCACACTTCCACATTAATTTGAGCTGATGCAAACCCCTGCTTGGAGGCACATAGTTGAGTGCTTGCCCTAACTGAACAGGGGCATGCTAGACAGATACAGCCAAGTTTAAAATTCCTTAGAGGAGGAAAGATGCAACAGAGTACTGATTTAATCATATCTGGTTTGAAAAGAAAAAAAAGCATGCTTATTAAATGCCTATTAAACCAATGTAACATCTTTAGACCAGACCTGGTTTGGGTTATGTATAAAGAATGCATGTGACATACCAAAGCACTCAGGTACCCCCCGGTCATATAGAACTTAACAATCCACTGACGACTGATTCAATAAAAAATACAATTCTATTTTATATGTACAACAGACCACTGCATATTTCCTGCATGCAGCCACAAAAGACTGTTACATTTTACCACTTGGGCAGAAATAGTTAGCTTTTACTGTAAGGGTGCATTGCTCAAGAAAAACCAAGGAGAAATGATACCCTAATGAAAGCTTTCAAAAGTCTGAGGAAATTTAAATCCCTCTGCTTCCACAAAGATGTTAATTTTTTTCCTGAAAGATGACTACTCTGTGTTTGTGGCCAGCCAAACCCTTTCATATTCTTTAGGCATCATGCATCCTTAAGAATTCCCACTGAGCCACAGCTGTTTTACCCACCTGATGTAACAGCCACCGAGGAAGGAAGAGTGGCATAGACCTTCACAGAGTCTGTGACCTGCAGGACAGAGATGCTGCCATCGGACAGACAGATGGCCACCATGGAGGGGATGGTAGGGTTCCATTTCAGATCGCTGACAGTTGCCATGCTGCCCGTGTCTCTGGCCAACTTATGATAAGCAAATGGGCGTTTCTGCTGTTTAGCCTTTTTAAGAGAAAACAACATCACAGGATGCAAATGCCATGTGCTGGGCAAATCTTTCCAAAGTCACAATCCCTGGGTATTTGAACCTGCTCATCTGCAATGGCTGTTTATAGGCATTAACTGCTCCAATGTGTGCCCAAACTTTAGGAAAAGCTAAAAGTTGTGTGTTCATTGGAACATACCTTCCTAGTACCATGCAAGTTTCTTCAAAAATCACTGAAGGAACTTTAAAAATTGAATTCATTTTTCACGATTTACCACTGGTATAAAAAGATCCCAGTTTCACAGTGCTGTAATGGCAGGGCCACAAAGACCTATGGGAATGTTTAAATATACAAGCAAAGGATCTCTATGAGAATACTACAAGATATCAGTACTCTTGCATGATTATTTAAATAGACACAAGGCAAAATACAGTCCCTTTTTTTAGGATCCAGCATTAATATACATTACATTCGATAGTTTGGGCTTGAACAACCTAACAATGTCCCTTTAAAAGGTGATCAACATGCTGCAGAAATATTATAGCTCTAACTGAAGACTTCTAGTTCCTGTCTACCACGTTCCAGGTTGCGAATAGCGACCTTAATACTTAGTATTTTCTTCACTGTGCTGTTTAAACACAAATTCATCTTCACAAGCACCTATCTATCAGCTCAGTTTATAGTCTTGTTTAACAGGTAGGAAAATTAAGGCAGATTATAACTGAAGACTCATTAAA